AGCAGCCTCCCTTCTCTGCCTCGTGCTCAGCGAGGGCGACTCCCACTCTGGAGTCACCAGCAGCAGCATCGTCAAGCATCGCAGCACTTCAGTAGCGACACCTCAGGGTGAGCCCTGCAGAGCTGCCACAGGCGTCAATCGCCGCGCTGAGGCAGCGGTGCAGCGCGCGTGCTGGGTGATGGCTGGAGAGCTGCGCACTCATGCGGTGTGGCGCGACCCACGGCTGGCGCAGTTCTCTTGGGAACCGCACGCAGACGAATGGAGATGTCAAGTGAATGTGGCTCCTGTCTCTTCAGACGCCAGAGGCTGCTCCCTTGCCAGGGCTCACAGCCAGCGCCCCAGCAGCAGCTCGAGTGGGGCTGCGTCTGTGTGCAGGGGGCTGAGTGGTCCCTGTGCCATCACTGAATCTGAGTGAGCTGCATAGAGCGTTATAACTGTTTTTAGGCCAACATGAAACACGTTTATAAAAATACAATCTGAATCAATTCCTTAATAAACTACTTTGCCTGTTTGCATAGAGCGTTATAACTGTTTTAGGCCAACATGAATCACGTTTATAAAAATACAATCTGAATCAATTCCTGAATAAACTACTTTGCCTGTTTGCCATGAGACACAACACATTTCATGCACTCTACTAGCACACAGCGTACTGGGTGCATTCACGGGAAACAACGTGCCAAGAAACCGTGGTTTTTCTGTTTACATAAAAATGTTATCAACAAATAATTACATTTCCAATGTCTTGTAGGGAATGTAGTCTGATCATTGGTGCTTAGATGGAAACCAAACCCTACCATAGGCTCCTAAAGATGCCAGTAATGTACAGTTCTGGTAATTATTGTAATCGTCGCCACATCGTCTCTCCTGTCAGACCTTCTGAGCTCTTCATGCTCTCGTTTGGATTAACAAAGAGCAACGAATCCTGCAGCCACTTCAAATCGAATGAATGGGCTCGAGAGGAGACGGGAACACTGCCGGTGTGAGTTACCAAAACCATGGACTAGAGGCATCTCCTCGAAGCGAGTAGTAGGGCTTGGATTCCTCGTTGCCACCTTTTGCTCTCGCTCGCCCCACACAAGGGCCTGCTGCCAAAGACGGAGGGAGGGAACACAGGCCAATGGAGCATTGAGATTGACAGTTACGTATTTGAATGACGAGGGGTGTTTAAGGTACATTTCAAAGGCCCAACGCCGAATCACTCCAGTGACGAGTGGTCAAAAAACGGACACTTTAGGGCAGTCTCAATGACTCGCAAACAATCCTCAGGAGACAATGGTGTGTGGCATCACAACTGTGTATAACTCATCGACAAATAACGAAGCCACAAAAGACGCTCTCCCGTCACAAGAGGGGACAGGGTCTGTGGATGAATGGGGATGGAGGTGTTGGCTGAGATTAATAAACGTGCGCGTCCGTTCTGCAGGGTCCCCTGGGTAGAGCTCCCAGGGACGACTCAGGCAGGGAAGTTGGACTGGGTGACGCTGTGGCCATGGAGGCCACGATGACCGTGACGGTGTGAGCGGTGTAAACTGGAGTCACGCGGAGGTGGGGAGTGGGAGCTGGGTGCCAGTGGAGCACAGCAAGGGGAAGGCAGCGCCACTAGCCCGAGTCAACATCCACATTGTGTGTGTTGTCTGGGTTTTTATTTTTGCATCTCAGGTGGCAATTCGGCTCGAGCACCAACGGTGACGCTACACACCCTAAAAGACACACGCAACTATGAGCTCTAGTCCAGTTATCTAAAATGGCTAATTCCTCATGATGTTTAAGAAGCTGTCCCAGTACAGTGCGTGCACAATATTCCAAATATACATTTAAAGTATAATTATCCATCTCAAACGTGTGCCCTGGCACGATACAAATCACTAATAAGACGGTGAATGTGTGTTGCGTTTATCGCCAGGTACACTGCACAAGTTGTGCTGCACGGGTCCAGCAGAACCACACCGTGGCCCTGCACCACGGCTCCATGTGGCGATGTTTAGAAGCCGAGAGGGAGAGATGGGACCGGCCGCATCAACTCCTCACTCAGCCGCTGCTGCCGCCGGCGACGCGACTCTGGGAGTGCCACTCGAGCCGAGGGTGTCGGCTCTGGGTGCTGCGGATTGCGATTCATGACCAATACGGCCTCGAATGGCTCTGTTGAGCGATACAGGTTACTCAGCAGGCGTATACTATAAGACACACGGGCGTTAACAGTATTCACTGCCTTAGCGACTCGATGAAACATCTCACTTAAGTCACAATGTAATGAACACGTCATGTTTGGCCGTGTGCTGCATGTAGACTAAAGTATGATTTCATTCTAGATTTGAAGCTTTCGTGACTGCAAGGATTCATATTCTTAGGTTTTTTTCGGTAAAGTCACGTAGGTAAAACATCAAAATTAATGAAAATAAAATAAAATAAAACAAAAAATCACGACGTTTCGGAGGCAACACAAGTCTCCGTCATCAGGTGGGACCGTCACAGCCGAATTAGCTGCATCAAGTGAGGCAATGATTCAAGATGTAATCCCTTATAAGCAAGTTGAAGGGTGGGGGAGGAGAGGGGGGGGGGAGCTCATCAGAATGTGGTAGCCAATGAATGGAAACGTATCGGGAGGGAGGGGGGCGGGGCTCAAAGACAGCACGGAGTGCTCAACACATGCAGCAGAGAGGGGGGAGGGGAGGCCTGATACACATGATAGACAAAAGAACGAAAATGCCCCTGTTTATACCAATGCTGGCTGAACAATGAAGAGAGTACTGTTAAAAAATAACTGGGGATGTTAACACTCGGTAAAGTAAAGTAAAATAGTGCCTGTCAGATAAGATGGTCCAAAAAAAGTGTAATTAAGTCTTTTTTGCGTGGTTGATAACATCTTTCCAATGATTACTAAGTTTGTACCCATCATCACGGTTGAAATTATGTCTGTGTTTGTATATTTGTATGGCTTCGTGTACAAACCTTTGATGGTAGCCAGGAGGTTTGCAGAGAACCTTGGTCTCGGAAAAGACAATTTCATGAGAGCCCACAGAGTTGTAGCAATGATCGGCAACGGCAGAGTTGTAGCAATGATCTGCCGTTGCCGATCATTGCTACAACTCTGTGGGCTCTCATGAAATTGTCTTTTCCGAGACCAAGGTTCTCTGCAAACCTCCTGGCTACCATCAAAGGTTTGTACACGAAGCCATACAAATATACAAACACAGACATAATTTCAACCGTGATGATGGGTACAAACTTAGTAATCATTGGAAAGATGTTATCAACCACGCAAAAAAGACTTAATTACACTTTTTTTGGACCATCTTATCTGACAGGCACTATTTTACTTTACTTTACCGAGTGTTAACATCCCCAGTTATTTTTTAACAGTACTCTCTTCATTGTTCAGCCAGCATTGGTATAAACAGGGGCATTTTCGTTCTTTTGTCTATCATGTGTATCAGGCCTCCCCTCCCCCCTCTCTGCTGCATGTGTTGAGCACTCCGTGCTGTCTTTGAGCCCCGCCCCCCTCCCTCCCGATACGTTTCCATTCATTGGCTACCACATTCTGATGAGCTCCCCCCCCCCTCTCCTCCCCCCCCCTTCAACTTGCTTATAAGGGATTACATCTTGAATCATTGCCTCACTTGATGCAGCTAATTCGGCTGTGACGGTCCCACCTGATGATGGAGACTTGTGTTGCCTCCGAAACGTCGTGATTTTTTGTTTTATTTTATTTTCATTAATTTTGATGTTTTACCTACGTGACTTTACCGAAAAAACCTAAGAATATGATTTCATTGTATACTCTATAGTGATATCATTGTTTAAACATAACCAGAATTCATACCCACATAACTCAATCCGCAAATATCATAAATATAGGGATCGATTTTAATCAATGAATTGGTATACCCCTATGTATCCCCTAAAGTTTGCTGTTATAATTGTAAAATGCAGTGATTTAAAATCAGGAGTATAATATATAGTATAAATATCATTAATCGTACAACGATTTATATTCCCATACGTACTGCATGCATATGACAAGTAATTGTATTCGCTTTGTAGAAAATGGCAAATTGCATTCAAGAGGCAGAATTGAGTGAGTTCCATTTGCACAATCTGAATGGTGAGGGAATTGTTTCTGCTAACGTGTATGTTTCTGGCTGACGGCAGTCAAGTTTCATTGTGTAACCAGGTGAGAACGCAAGAGGCCCGGCGACTCATTTGCGAGGGTGACCCGCTTCAGTGTTAAGTGCGTTTAGTAGTCTTTTCGGTTGTGGTGGAGTAAAGTGTTGGTGCTGCTACATTGTCCATCTCATCTGCAGTGTGTGGGGCAGCAGAACAAACACCGTTTACACGATGCCAGTCACCAGCAGGTGCACTCCACGCAGGAGGCAACTGGCAAGCGGACAAATGCCAAGCCCTGTGAGCGAGCTGCGTCAGCGCGGCTTGAATGACGAGAGAGAGAGAGCAGCAGCACCGTGCGGGTGTGAGTCCACTCTTCTCCCTGTCCCTCACGGGCTCCAACTCAATCTGTCTGCGACGTTCTCTTTTCTGCTCATGACCCTCATAGAAGGTAGGAATTCACGTTTTGGTCATCTGACAATTTCCAAATCAGACCAGTTGGCTCAAGTATGTGGCTGATATTGTTAAGTTAGGGTGAATATGTATTTCCTGTGGTTTATTGTCAATTGGTAAATCGCAAAATCATCGACGGTTTTGTTAATCACAATAGCTATGGTATACTGAGTCGCGCCAATCAATTTCAATTTGCAGAAAGAGCAACAACGCACACGGTCAACGTGTAACTAAAACACATAACACACAGGTTTCCTATTCCTGCGATTTATGCATTAGAAGAGTTATTATCTACTATCTGCAATGTTAATGGGATGGCAGGAGCGTTTGGGATTAGGTTTTTAATATTAGCAGACTCCCTCATGTACACGCACAAGCATGCCCTGTCATAGCCTGCATGCAGGCTTGGATTGCCTTGTGATATTCAGAGAGAATCTGAAAGTGAGATTAAATAAATGGTTAAGAGGAAGATAACGAATGATGGGACCAGGGAACACATTTGTGCTGCGTGCTGAACTAATCGTGAGTCCAGTGCACAGCACGAGCTCAGTGCACGTTTGGGGTGTGAGCAGTGAACGCGGTGCCCTGCGGGGCGTGATCACTGCCACCTGCAGTAAGGAGGCCGGGTGTGTGGCGTGCGCACTCTGCCAGTCACCCGAGCTACTTTACATAACCTGGGCATTCTTTGTTTACAGGGTAGATTGGGGCTCCCCAAATGCCATGTAATGGGCACTGCAAAACATAATGACCAAATATTCCAGGGATACGTGCAACACACTCACCTAGGACGTTGTGCATCCCCTGTGATTGAGCTGTCACACTGCCCTGACAGCAAATCTTCCCATTGTCTGTTTTTGCCATAAAAATTATTTGGCAATAAATGTATGTGAACTGTTCATGCTTATGCAACTATGTTCAAGTGCTGAATGCCAATATCAAGGTCTGCTAGCCACAAGAGGGATTATAGAGAGAGTTGGTGTCGTTTTAATTCCTCCTCCATTGACGGAATGCAGACTACAGTGGTTTACTGTGTGGCCCATAGTTTGGGATGCATGGCCACAGTCGCACTTTGGCTTGTATTCATGAAGGGGATGTGCGCAGCGGCTGGTTGATGTTCTGATGGTTACACCAGTGTCAACGCCAGCAGGTGCGATGTTTGGATCTCGATTTGGCTGTTTGTTCTAATTACTGTTTATGAGCGACTCAAGAGTAAAGGCATTTTCCAAAAGTGTTTTTGCTAAAGGACATGAAACTAACATTTATATTGAGATGTGAACTGTGTGTAATAATGTATAGACTATTAACACATCATTATACCCCATTTCCATGATGCAGCCATTACAATGTAAAAATCTAATTATATTTAAACATTTTAAGAAGAGCAAATCACGTTCAGTGGAGCAAAAAGGATTGCGGAAAATAACACCTATGCTCAAGATTATTGAATTGTAAAGTGAATATGAGCGGTGGTGATGCCCCATTTCAGACGATCTCTTCCTGCCGGGCGAGTTGCGCTCAGCGTGTGGTCACTGCCCACGCTGGCGCTACATGATAGCGCAGCCCCCAGAGTCTGCAAGAGAATACGGTTTCCAGTGATGAGCAGAGGGCCACAATGACTCACAGACTACAGCGCTGCATCTGCTGCGCATGCCGTGCATGTCATTCACACAAGGGCCGTGCACAGTCTCTGTGCAAAGCACAGTGTGTCAGACTGAAACGTGGCAGGAACACTTCTAATGAAAGAGCTGTATGCCCAACAAAGTCGATGTGACAAGTACGTACCTTGCTTTGTTGCCTCTGCCTTTGCTTTCACCTGTAGAAATAGGAGACAAACGATCAGAGCGAATCCAGCAGAACTACGCTGTGTTCTGTGTGGCTCTGAAGGAGCTTCATTAGTTAGCAATGTAAATCCAAACAATGTGGCTGCAGTAGAAAGTTTGTTAAGAAAGGTGCTTTTTATTCTAACAGAAAAATACGTACTATACTATTATTATTTTACTCGGTATATAGCTCTTTTTCAGAAGCAACCTGACACAAATGAGGTTTATAATTGTGGAGAGACAAACTGGAACTAGAGAAAAATCCACACGACCACGGGGAGAACATTCAAACTCCAAATATACCCCCTGTATACCACGTGAGGTAGTTAACACCTCGCCACCGCGGCGCCCACAATACGTTTAGGTTTTTTGTGTCAGACTTATTAAGCGTGAGTGCGAAAGTTCTATAAGTCACAGAAAAATGTGCCAAATAGCAAAGTAGTTGTGTGCCCATAAGTGGTCACTTGCGTTCACCTTTTCAAGCAAATGCAATTCACCAAGTCTTGAGGAATGAAGCCTTGTGCCGAATGTAAAAGGTGACAACATCTAGCAGCGGGCTTCTTTCAAGCCAGTGCAATGACACCTACCTCTGGGACAGGTGCTTTCAACGTGGGTGCAAGCATGGCCGTCTGAAAATAAAACGTATCATTTAGGGAAATTTACATCCAAATAACGAGGTTTAAACAAATAACCAAAAAAATATAACGGAACCAAACTTGTCAAGACACCACTGCAGAAAGTCACGCGATTGTCCTACAGTCTCAATGGTAAGCCAGTGCTGATACTTGTGTCAGTGATAAGTCAGTGCTATTGCTTGTGTCTCAGTGGTAAGCCAGTGCTATTACTTGTGTTTCAGTGGAAATGTTCATGTATTTATTAGATTCTTTACATAGCTTAATATCAATATCCATGAAATTTGCTATTCACGAGCATTTCTGGAATATATCCCTCGTGAATAACGAGGGAATACTGTATCTCAGTGCAACGCCAAGTGCTATTTCCTGTATTTCATCTTGTAGTCAATACTATTGCCTGCATTTCATTGTGGAGTCAGTGCTATTTCCTGTATTTCATATTGTAGTCAATACTATTGCCTGCATTTCATTGTGGAGTCAGTGCTATTTCCTGTATTTCATCTTGTAGTCAATACTATTGCCTGCATTTCATTGTGGAGTCAGTGCTATTTCCTGTATTTCATCTTGTAGTCAGTGCTATTGCCTGTATTTCATCGTGGAGTCAGTGCTATTGCCTGTATTTCATCTTGTAGTCAGTGCTATTTCCAGTATTTCATCGTGGAGTCAGTGCTATTGCCTGTATTTCATTTTGTAGTCAGTGCTATTTCTCACTTCTCAACAGTCCGATAAACTAGGCAATATATTGTTACTAATAAGGTAAACCCAGCTCAAGTGAAAATACACCTATGCCTGTAGCATACAGTAATGGTGTGTGCCCTGTAAACAATAAAAATCTTTTTTAACAAGAAAACTAATCATGACATTAATACAGGCTGGAAACAAACAGATCTAACAATAGACAAGATTGTGCATTGATTGTGCAAAAGCTCTCAGCCTTAACCACATTTTCTCAACCCTTTGAGTTGGTGGTCTAAATGCAAAAAAAGGCAACACATTCAGTTATGTTAAACTGGTGTTCATAATCAACGTTTTTGGGTTTAGATCGCGTTTATTTATAAATGTGTCGTAACCCTCCACCACCCGACACGGCCAATCAGTAAAAATGTGTCACGTTGACAAAGACAAATAGTTCACTGCTTTAGCCCACCGGTGTGTTGAAGCCACAACATTTACAACACACCGGTGGGCTAAAGCAGTGAACTATTTGTCTTTGTCAACGTGACACATTTTTACTGATTGGCCGTGTCGGGTGGTGGAGGGTTACGACACATTTATAAATAAACGCGATCTAAACCCAAAAACGTTGATTATGAATAACATTGGTCGCGAAAGCCTACGTGTTAAACTAAACTGGTGTTCTGGGTAAGCTTTTGTACATCATCATAATCATGATCCATAGGCAGATAGCCCGTAGGTGTCACACTGCACATGTCATCATTTGTTTCCACTTTCCTCTGTCTTGTGCCATTATGCTCAAGTAGTGCCACATCTTTCTGGCACACATTTCTTACGTCGTCGTTCAGCCATTCTCTGTTAGGTCTTCCTCTCTTTCCGGTTCCTTCCATTTTTCCAAACAACACAATTTTAATTTTCCTGTTGTTGTCCATCCTATATATGTATCCAAATAGTGACCGTTTCTCTGTCATCACTGCCTGCATCATCAGCTCTTCTTCTACGTGCTTACTTCCACGTTGGTCACCCTTTGGGTCCAGCTTAGATGAAGTATCCTTCTGTAGCAATACATTTTGATTGCCAATATCTAATCTCTGTCAGACTTTTTTCAATGTCCAAGTCTTGCAGGCATACAAATCTGTATTGAACACGCATACTCTTAAGATGCTCAGTTTGGTCTTGGTAGCTGATTTGCTTGCTTCTCTAGATGTTATTCAATCCTGCCATTACCCCTTTTGGCTTTGTGATCCTCGCTCTTATATCTTTCATGCAGTCCATTTCCTATGTCAGTAGATTTCCCAAGTATACAAATTCCTTTTCATTCACAATCTTGCTGATTTCCAGTGTTAATTCTCTCAATATTCTCCTTTCCGAACACTGTCGTCTTTGTCTTGCCCACGTTCATCCTCCATCCTGCTTCTTTCCTGCTTATTCAGCTTATAAACATTTTCCTGCAGTACTATGCAGCTTTCTTCCATCAGGTAGATCTATGTCGTCCGCAAATCTCAGGTTATGTATTCTTTCTCCTTGCACAGATATTCCCGTGCCATTTTCCTGAATGGCATCCATCACTCTTTCAAGTTTGTGACGAAGTTGTTTGGTGATAATGGATCTCCCTGTCACATACCTATAGTTGTTAGGACCCATTCTCCTATTTCCTGTCCAAATTTAATGCTGACTTTGACCTTTCTCCTATATCCTGCAGAATCTGTATCAGTCTTTACCCTACTCTGTATGATCTTAATGTTGCCCACGTTATATATTTCTTCATCAAATCTAATGCTTTCGGGAAATTTATGAAACAGTTGTAAACCAGCCGTTTCTTCTCTTTGCTTTCTCAGCTATAATCCGTAGCATCAAGATTTGCTGTACTGTGTTCCTATCTTTCCTAAACCCTGCCGATTCATATGCCAAATAATTATCAGTGTGTGCTTTTATACAATTTTATGATACGTTCATTAGTACCTTCCCCATGTGGATCATTAGTGCGATAGTTCTGTAAATTTTACAATCGGTGAGATCTCCTTTATTCGGTATGATGACAAGTATAGATTGTGTCCACTCCTCCAGTATTTTCCCTTCTCTCCATACTTGCTTGCATAACCCATGGATTTCCTTATAAGTTCCTTCCCTCCAGCTTTAATTTCTCTGCCGATTCCATCCACTTCTGGACTTTTGTTTTTCTTCAGATGTTTTATTGCCTTTTCTACTTCTTCATACAAGGTGTTATAAATGTCATCATCACCTTGGTGACAAAATGGCCACACATTCAGTCAGTTTGTGGTGTTGGCCTGGACAAAGCTGTTGTTCATGTGTAACGTCGCCTAAATTTGACTATATAAACAGTAAGATAATACTCTGACAATCGTGTGTGTTTGAACCCAAATGGGTAATACAATTTTCTAAAAGAAACTGCTCCATAATTGGAACAATTGGTAACCTGTTTACTTTCACTCATATGCTTACTATTATTCTATAGCTTCGTATTGAGCTCTCACAACCCAGCCACTTCATCTCTTCTCCAGGCTTACCTCAACTAAAATTGCCATATCACCCATTTTTATCAACTATTCAACTCCCTTACTTGCCTTAACTAACAACCTCGTGGCTGTCCATTAACTGCTCGAGTGACAGCCTAATGGCTGTCTGTCAATTGCCCTGACATCCTCGCGGCTGTCGCCTGATCACACCCCACGTCACGCCCACGAGCTGTAGGAGCGGGGCTCTGTCCACTCAGTGGTGCTGTTAACATTCACATTCAGCACCATGAGTCAGGAGTCTCATCCCTGCAGTTCCCCGTTGTGGTCACACATCCCTTTATCGTATAGCTTCTCAATTCCTTTATAATGAGGCAATACTTTCATAAGGATTGTGTTTCACTACACATGCAATGATGCACACATTTGTTAAATCGGCCTGTAAACACAAGGAACAGTGATGTTCTTACCTCAGCAACAGCTTTAGCAATGTCTCCTTCCGCCATCTGAGTAAAGGTGAACACACCAAGGTCATTCAGCGTTTAGTGAGATTCTGATTGTGTGTGTGGATATATGTGCATGCCAGTAGGCAAACACATGTGTATGCATGTCAGTACTTGTGTGTGTGTGTGTGTGCATGTGTGTGCATGTGTTTGTGAGAATGCTAGTATTAGTGTGCATGTGTGTGCATGCCAATATTTGTAAGTGTGCATGCCAGTATTTGTGATTATTAATGTGTGTGCATGTCAGTGTTTGTGCGTGTGCAGGTTAATCTATGGAGTCACACCACTGCTGATTCTCTAGATCAGGGGCGTCAAACTCAATCAGGGAGCGGGCCAGTTTGTATTCAAATGCACCTCCTGTGGGCCACACAAATGGGCCTATGAAAATGAAAAGCATAATAACACGATATTAATTTACCGATTCAAAATCCGAAAGTGCGGGAAAAGAAAGTTGATTGATTTTTTACAACAGGGCGTGCCAAATCCCCCGTTTCAATGTTGGGTTTAAATTCAGGTTGAATTTAGGTAGAAGCTTTACAAAAATATTAATTGTAAAAATTAAAGCACATGGCGGGCTGGAGGAAGGGGTATGGGGGGCCGGGTCCGGCCCGAAACGATGGTTACAGACAGCTGGGTTAGCAAGGGGTTGGACAAATAAAACTAAAGGGCTGCAACAGCCGTGGTGCACTTGCTCTCGGTGTTCTCAGGACCACATCGCACAAGGTGCGACCCCCACGCATGCGTGTGTCCGTACGCGTGTGACCCCTTATTGTGGGTCCGTACACTTGGGTCCGTACGTGGTGTGCAGCCTTTTCTCTGTGATGAAGAAGCACCATCATCTTCAATGTCAGCCTACTATGCAGTGTGCCAAGGCAGTACTCATGATGAACGTTGTGCGTGTTTGTGATGCGGTGCTCGAGCGGTGGGATAGTTTTTGCTCCGTAGTGGATTCCTGGTCCCTGCAGAGCAGCAAATGACTCGCTCAGAGCAGGATGAGTGAGGCACCCCACAGTTCACGCTCTGTAACTGCCAGAAGCACCCAGGCAGAGCACTGCCTGAGTTGTCTACGATTCATTTCGCTTTGCCGCACGATTATATTCTACACCCAGTGCTTGCCCCAGTACTGCACTACCAGCGCCGTCCACACTCAGTGCCCCACGTACGTTGCTGTAGACTCCGCCGCATTGTCCCGATACTTACGGTTTTGTACATCTTGCGGATTTTAACGACGTCCAGTGGGCTGAGGCATTCCCGCTGGCCGATAGTGGTTGTCTCTGGTATAGGGATGATCGTAGGGCTTATCCCATCACCGGATAAGGTGTCCCTTCAACATAAACACACACAACTAATTTCGTGAAATGAGCTGATATATTCAATCTGTACACTATTTCAATTACACAATTCATGCTATTCAGCTAAAAATATTTTTTGATGACCATTTAAAAAAGCATCACAAATAACTCTAAACATTAATCTATGATTTCCAGTGCAAAATAAGGAAATGCTTTAACCATGATCATAACAGTTACACACTTGAACTGAAGTGTTTATTATCAATATCCTTCAAGGGTTTATCTCAGCACCACCTCTTAGTTATGCTTTGTGGGTATGTATAAACACCCATTAATGGAGTTGGCTAAACATCCCAATATAGGGCCACAGATCATGGGCAATTGTTCACGCTGTTCCTGGCTGCCTTCCCACTTGTCTGTGGCTTCCTGCACGTCCGCGAAAACTGTGCACATTACACATTCTGCAGCATTTGAAAATCAATTTGAATGAATTATGGTTTGTAAAATTAATAATCGTTATTAATTATTATGCAGAATATGTAATCAGTTTGCTCTGTACGTGTCTTCTAAATAGGACCTAGGAGCTGGGTGAGGCTGAACTAAGCATTATTAATAATTAATCATCCAACAAGGAAGTGTGCCACGATGCTTTAAGTCATGAAAACCGTTCCCAGTGCAATATGCGCCTGTCTCTCTGCTCCCATGCTCCACTGTCTCACAGAACAACCCTGAGAGTAGGCAGTGGGCAGCTATCGTTACACTGTATGCAACTACCCTGCCCTTTGCTGACGGCATCACCAACAAAGGTCCCTAGAGATGTTGATGACGTTATAACACCGAGCTCTGTGTCATGCAAATTGAGAAGATGGACCCTGTGTGGCATTAAACTGCTGTGAAAAGCACCCAGAGACATAAGCAGCTCAGCTTGACACAAGCTTACTCTTACCAGAAAAGTAACAGTGAACCCCAGGACAAGAATGCCGTGACTATAAACTACTGTTACACGCATAGTTATGAATTCACGTCCAATGCAAGAGCACCACTAGGAGCGACTCATGATGCAGCGTGGCACAGAGCTGAATAAGAGAATGCATGCCCAATATTATTAATTACGAATGAGGCTGCTCAGAGAGCTGTGAGCAATGACACTGGCTCAGACTGTCAAGCCACAACCTGGTGAGATCACGAGAGCCTACCTGCCGTAGTGGGTGATGCTGATGTAGTCGTAGGGAAGTTCACAGTCGGCAGTATCCAGCAGTTGAAACTGGCGTTGTTCACCTGGAGCAGAAACCACCTGTCAGTCAGACACTTATTTGATTTACGGGGTGCGATAGTCACACTCAGCATCGCGGAGGCTGTGATCTCAGTGGTTTCGAAATCTCTCGATACCAAAACATTGCTTATAATTTACATCAACACAATATTAATATACAGTACACATTGAAGACATTGGGCCTAATTCATGTTGCAGCATCAATGGTAATGTGGAAAAAACATTTTTAAACTTAATCTTTAGAATGTTTCCACTTAATATGAAAAAAACTTGAGCCATCCTGCCAATACGTGAAACCAGACCCATGGTCTTATAAAACGAAACAAAACTATTTTGTTTACCAGGTAAAGCCCGCTGAGCTATGAGATATATTTCGAGGTGACCTGACCACTCACGATAGCTCATCAAAGTGGTTTATATCACCACACGTGGGAATTTATAGTCAGAGCTAAATGATCCAAACCAATGTTTCTAAATGTTGAGGGCAACACCGAATGGATCAGAACTTCCAACTGGCCACCACGGGAAGAGTGAACTCACAAATTCCAAATATAGAGCCAGCATCAGCAGGGTCAGGATTGAAATCACGACCTCCTGCGTACCAGGCTGTAAATAACATATATCGCCATCGCGGCGCCCATTATACAACACGATTTACATCAGTAAGCACAGACGCCATTACATGTTGGGTTCAAGATGGGCCCACATAATGCAGCTGTTAATTACTTATTTTTACATGTGTGTGTCGTGTCGGCTTTCACAGGTGCAACTAACAGAACTTGCCCCTAGATATTTGTCTTTCGTCCTGGCCACCTGCTCACCCATCCTGTCTTCAACATAAGTGCTACAAGACCAAGAAGTGAAAATACTGCTTCAAGTGCCACAATGTGTGGGAAGGTGATGACATTGAAAACGAAATTAGAATTGTTACGCCGCTTTGCAGCAGGTGATATGGAGCGCCTGTTATCACCGTGGATTGAAGATCAAAATGAGTGCCACATTCCTCTCAGTTTAGTGGTGATCCAGGTAAAGGGTACGAAGTTTGTTTCAGGATTTAAAGGCCAGGGTGATGAATCAGGATGTCATTGCAGCTTTCTAAGCTGTTGCATCTTAAACAAAGCATGGACATTTGTTGTAAGTGTAATATAGTTGAAGACTCTTGGACGCCGGGGTTGGAGGCACACGTATTTATTCCGCGTCAGTAGGCACAATTTACGGACATACAACACTGGAGGGGGTATCGGCCCCCTCACCCGGCTAGCTGGGGATACACTTGCTAGCTATGTCTAACCTACCTCCTAGTCCTCCTCTAACGGGCTAGGGGAGGCTATCTGGCCCGACACTGGTAAGTCGGGCTTACGGTACCCGGAGTCCCAGACCAGCTCTGATAAGAGCACCGGCTCTGGCTCTCGGGACCACGCCGCTGGCTCGGTCCTGTTCGGCCCTGATAAGGGCAGCGACCCAGGGGAGTCCAGGGCTCTACCTAGACGGTCTTCGGTCTTCACTGGTTCAGCTTTAACATTATCTCCCCGAGCCCTCCGGCTCATCCCCTTTGATACCAACCCCGGCTGAGGGGTGGGGCCCCGGGGGATCACAACTCCGGGCAGCCCCCCAGGCTCCCCGGCGCGGACGTCGTTGGGATCACCTCCCCGTGCACTCACGTAGCCACGCCCACTGTGTTTGTTTCCCGTGTGATCCCATGTATAACAGCCCCTCCGTAACGCTCCTACATCACCCCCCCCCCCCCCCCCCCCCGTACAGCTCGCAGCCGTCCCGGCTGCAACAAACGACAATAAAAGTTTATTTACCCCTTGACCCCGCGTGTGCCTCACAATTTTTTTTCAACAATAACGAGAAGGAGAACAACAACAAGAACAACAACAGCAAGGAGGAAAAATAAACCGACGCCCCCCCCCGAATAAATACGAATTTCGTAAAAAAAACGCCCTATATACAATTGGCAGGGAACCCCACCACACACACGACACACAGCGAACACAACATATGTACAATCCAATGCGCAAGGAACACACCACCCACAGTGAACACAGCATGTGAGAAGAGAAAAAAAAGAATTGTCTGCGCATTCTTGCGCGCGTCCTTGCAGCAGGCCCGTCACACGGGGCAACCCCGGATGGCGGACTGCCGGGTGGCAACCGCCCGTCTCCGAGTGAGTCTCTTTTTGATGCCGCGAGACCCTCGGCATCCCCAGGCGGGGTCGTAGGGCGTGAGCCCGTCACTCCTGATGCACCTGGGGGTGGCACAGCCGGCAACTCGTTAGGTGAGAGCAACGGAGACGGACCCAGTGAGTCGGTCGACCCCCCACATGTTTGGCCACGCGTGTGTGAAGTGGGAATTTGTACCGCAACGAAGGGTTTTAATCTGGAGGGGTGTACAAACCACCGCCGCTTCCCCCATTTGATGCGTACGCACTGCGGCCGCAAAACCTCAACCACTTCCACAGGACCCCGCCACGGCCGCACCAGTTTAGAGGAGGTCGCAAGTGGCACCTGTGGACAGTGCAGCCATGCCTTGTCCCCCGGCTTCCACTGCAGCACGTGCGCCCGACCCAGTCTGAGCCTTTCATTGGCTTTCTGACGGAGGTCAGAATTTTGCATGGCAGCATCCCGTGCCTCTGTCAATTTGGCAAGATTAAATTTAACATGGTCGGCCAATTAAGTTTTACCCTGCGGCGCGGGGATCTGCAGCTGGGCCCGAACAGGCGGGTCAGGTTCGCGGCCATACATGAGGAAGAAGGGGGAAAATTCCGTTGCCGCATGGGGGGCCATTCGGTATGTTGCCAAGACCCCTTGAATTTGCAAGTCCCAATCGGTCTGTGAGTCCGAAACCTGCTGTGACAACATCGACGTGATGGTGCGATGCAGACACTCGACCATCCCGTCAGTTTGCGGGTGATACGGGGAGGTACGAATTTTTTTCGTGCCCAGGAGCTCACAGACTTGTTGGAGTAGTTTGCCAGAAAAATTTCTGCCCTGGTCGGTCAGCAGCCGCTCCAGAGCACCTTTGTCCAGGACGTATCCCTGGACAAAGGCCTCCACGATGGCTGCTGCCGACTGGTTGGCAAGGGGCCAGGCCATAGGCCAGCGCGTAAAGTACTCCACACCGGTCAACAAATATCTATTGCCCCTGGGGGTGGCGGGGAATGGGCCCAGAATATCCAGCGCGACAAGCTCGTTCACTCTGGAGACTTTGATCGATTGCAAGGGCGGGTTAGACTCCCGTGCTGGTGGTTTCCGCTGCGCACACCGAGGGCATGACCCCAACAAATCCCCGACATCCCTTGTCATGCCAGGCCAACAAAAATCAAGCTGGAGCAAGGCGAGGGTCTTTTGGGTCCCCAGGTGGAGGAGGCGCTCATGAGCGGCCCACACCACCTTACCCCGCAACCCAGAAGGGACCACCAGCCGGTGTCGATGGGATCTCCCGTCCCAATGCATTAGCAGACCCTGGACCATTTCCCATGAGTCGGCATCACCCCTCCCCCATCCAGCACCCCCGACGCGATGACGCAACGCGAGGAGGGAGGTATCCTCCATCTGGAGGCGCCCCCATTCAGTGACAGGTAACCCCAAAAGGGAATCTTTTCCCTGTTGTGCGATCGAATTCGTCATCGCCGTTGCGTCGTCGGCGGCCGCCAAGACCGGAACAGGTATCTCCCCCGGAGGCCTGCAACGTTCCGACCCCAGGAGGCATGCGCATTCGGAGGTGGTTGGCATGCGCGACAGAGCATCCGCATTGGTGTGGCGAACGCCCTTACGGTATGTAGTTTCAAAATCAAAGTCCTGGAGAATCTCCAACCATCGAGACAATTGTCCCGATGGTTGTTGAACTCGCAGGGCGTACTGTAGTGCCGCATGATCTGTGCGGACGGTGAAATGCCGACCGTACAGATATGGGCGATACTGTTGGATGAAATAGACAATTGCCAACAGTTCCCGACGGGTGACACAATATCTTTGCTCCGCTGGAGACAACACCCGACTACCGTACGCGACTACCCATTCCACGCCGTCAACCACCTGGGAAAGCATGCCCCCAATACCCGTGTTGCTCGCATCGGTGTCGAGCAAAAAGGGTTTAGAAAAATTGGGGTAAACCAAGGGAGGAGCTCCTGACCTCTCCCATCGAGGTGGGAGTCGGCCAGGAGCTGACGCACTGCGTTTTGGCGGGATCGGTAGCAATACCTGAGCGCCCGACGATGTGTCCCAAATAACGCACAGATTCGCGTAACAGATGACATTTTTGGGGTTTAAACTTCAGATTAGCAGCCCGCATCTTGAGGAAAACCGCCCGCAACCTCTGGAGATGTTCGTCAAATGTTTTACTAAAGACGATAACGTCATCCAAATAAATCAAACACGAGTCCCATTGCAATCCAGCCAAAACCAATTCCATCAATCACTGGAAAGTTGCCGGCGCTGAGTGGAGTCCCATCGGCAACCGGTTGAATTGGAACAGGCCGTGCGGTGTACGGAATGCAGTTTTAGGCTTTGAATCATCGTCCAGAGGAAGCTGCCAGAATCCCGAAAGCAAATCCAATGTGGAGAAGAATCGCGCTCCCGCCAAGGCGTCAAGCGATTCGTCCATCCGTGGGAGCGGGTATGCGTCGGCAACATAAATTTTGTTGAGGCGACGAAAATCGACGCAAAACCGCAACGAGCCGTCCTGTTTTTTAACCAGGACGATCGGCGCTCCCCAAGGGCTGGTAGAGGGAGAAATAATGTCGGCGGCTAACATGTCATCAACGGCCAATTTGACATGGTCCTTTTCGGCGGGACTTAACCGAAAAGGATTCTGACGTATTGGCGCGCTGTCACCTGTATCAATATGGTGACGCAGCAGATGGGTACAACCCAAATCGAATTTGTTCTGACTGAAAACGTCGTAAAATTCACGCAACAGTGTTTTAAGCTTTTGACGCTCTAAATCTGACAGGTCCGTCGATCCCGCACAAAGCGCCTCGAGCCACCCTTCATCGCTGTCC